AATGGTCATAAAAATATGTATGGAACAGAAAAAAGCTTGGTTGTACAAATTTACAAACATGTGAAAATACAGTGTTTGTGGCCTATGAGTATTATTGTATTATTCAACAGCTGTTATTCTGTAGAAAATATATATTTGAATCTATCATGTGTGATTGAGCCAATCGGATGAATACTGTCCTTCATTCAGTCTATGAACATAGCTACCAATAGTTCTGTGAGTTTTTGTCAGAAATAGAATAATCTTGAATAAATCCTGACTTGCCATATCATACAGCAGTTCCATGGCTTAACAGCAGTAATGTTTTATTGTGAATTTTTGAGCTCAGGGCCAAGATTAAATTTTTTCTGAATGAGAAGAGACATTTTCAGTCACTATTACCAAACATTAAATGGCTTTGGAAATAGCTTTTGCTGCAGACTTAATAGTTTTTTAATCAATTCAACCTAAAATTTTAAGGCAAAACCTCACTTGCATGTAAAATTTACCCTGCAGGAAACAACTAAGGTTGTGGGAAATCCAATGTCAAGCTATGATTCTAGTGCTGTCAAAAACAAAACAAGAAACTAGATGTCCATTCCCACACAAATTTGCAGCAGACATATTTTCCAAGCTTAAACTACAGTTCCAGAGTTTTGTTAGGCCTCAGTGTAAGTGCAAAGGAAATTTCCGTATTAAAATAACTGTAACTGAGAAGATTTTACCAATCCTCAATTAGAAATGATGACATGCTCAAAGGCAAATAGTGAGGGGAAAAAATCTAACAGAACTTAAGAGTTTTACAAATGCCTTCCAAGAGATGACTATGTATAAAGTTATATGCACATAGACTGACATCACCATTTGGCAGGACCTATGTATATGAAAGGAAATTTTTCAAAGATGAAATACATAAAAGCACATTATAGATCAGTATTAACAGATAAACATTTTCAGTCAATTTTGTTAAGAACATTAACTCTGAACTCCAACGAATGTGAAATGTTATCTTTAAAAAAAAGAATTCTTCTCATTAGTAAGCCTGTATTACAAAAAAAGAAAACCTATTTATTTTTTTTTATTTCATCAGTAAAAATTTCATTTGTAGAAATTTGCTTTCTCCCTTACATATCTATATGATATACTATAGTACCTACATAATATTTTCAGTTTTGCCTCTTGGCCTGCAAATCATAAAATATCTACCTTTAACAGAAAGAGTTTGTCAGCCCCAAGCTAGAAAATAATTTCTTACCATCAGTCCAATGCCACCCCATAAACATGGTAATAAGCTCATCCCATTAAGAGTATTTTAAAACCACATTTTAAAAACAATACATTTTTTCAAATAAAGAGGGAATAAACAGTGATTAATAGTTATTTGTAAATGACAGTTAAAGATAATTTCTTGGTATTCCTGTATTATCCCCACTACAATGTAAGTGATGGTGTAGGGAGCTAAAATTAAGGAATATGTCAGTCAATAAACTTTCAGACATTGGTAGAATAAGTGAAATAACTAATCTCTCAACAGTAATGTAAAGTGCAATTGTTAATACCAGCCACATTGGTCAACATAACCAGTTTCTCAGTATTTTCAGGAAATTTTCAAAACCCAGTTCTTCACACGAGTAATATCATTAGAAAGATATTTTTTTAAAAAAAGCTTTTACTTCCAAAATAAACTGCTAAAAAATGGCAATAAAAGTACTTCCCTGTTCACAAGGACCTGAGCTGGCTGTTGAGTGCCTAAAATATCAAGGAATTTCAAGTCAGTAGTACTGCCCAGAGCGCACCTGCTCTTGTTGTCAACAGGGAGGTGGCCAGAGTCCTGCATCTCCAGCTCACCTGACTGGGGCAGAGAGGGCCTGTTGGTTCCTCTGCACCTCAGCCTCTCTCTCTCTCTCTCTCTCTCTCTCTGAAGCTCTCCTCTGTTGGTCCATTTCTCCACATGTCTCTTCTCCTCCTCTCATCTATTTCTGCCCACCAGTCCACTTCTGGCCATAAAAACTTTCACAAAATATATTATCTTCCACTCCCAATATAATGCTTGGAGTTTGATGTACAGTGGATTGCTTCCTACTGGTCAAATGATACAGCTAAAGAAATGCTGGATTTCTAGTATTGCCAAATTTTATTTAACTAGGACAAAGTAAATGAGTCAAAGAAAGTTAATTCATTTTCACATTTGTGGTGTATTGTCTTGAGGAAGGAGAACAGTTAAGAAGTTCTCATTTCTGATAGATGGGGAACAGATACTAGCTGTTAAGATAGAAACTGTAAGGCAAAGGGCAGATCTCATTCAAAGCTGAGGTTACTGCAGCAGACACCTGGACATCCAACTCAACAGTTTACAACTACCCAACAAGAATAAGCCAAATGACTGAAAAAATGAAGACACAAAAGGAAGTTTTCAACAGCCATATCCATCTAAGGTTCCTAGAATGTTCTATCCCAGTATCAGGTATGGGAGATTAGGCAAAGAAGCTATTTACCATTTCTATATTTTCCTTTTTATCCACACCCCTGAATAACAGGCCTCTTTCCTTTTTTTTAATGTGTAGACTCAAGTCAAGACTCTAGAATTAATTACTATATGATATAATTATAGGGGTGTGACTATAGTTCAGAAGCTCTCCATATTTCATGATCATGGGTCCCTACTTCATTAAGAAACAGTCACACAGAAACAGCTTTCAACTTTGTGCCACAAAATCTATACACCCACAGAACCTACACCATCCTCTCTCTCTCCTCTTTCCTTGAATCGAAAAATCAAAGTGCCCTTTTACCTAACCTATGTTCCAGACTCAATCTCTTTTTATCTTCATGGAAAGCTGACACTAGAAATCATTTCCTCTATTTCTTAACACATTAACCACTCCCTGTCTACTCCGTTCCTTAAAAAAAACAAAAATAAAACAACACCTTTCCTGAAAATCTGCTCGAAAGCATTACCTACACTAGTCATCCCCCATCATACCCCATGCTATGCACACTGCTCCCACCAAGGTCACCAGCGGCCCCAAAATGGGCACTTTGCTGTCCTGCTCTCACTCAGCCAGCAGCAGGCATCATTGACCACTCAGATCTCACTGAGAGGCTCTCTCACCTTGGATCCCAAGAGCACACACTCCGAGTTTTCCTCCTACCTCACTGCTGCTGCTTCTCCAGCAAAGAAGACACGTAAGATGAGGAGATAAGAAAGCCATATCCAAGGAACAAAAGATGGGGAGATTTTCAACATTTGGGTTGCATCACACCAAGGTCGATATGCTCATTTCAAGGACCTCTGAACTCCCCTCTTACCTCCTGAAACACGAGCTCCTCTGCTTTGAGCCTCGCCATCATCTCCTGCTCCATCAGAGCTAGTTCTCTTTCACGCTCCAAGTCAATCATTTCCTTTTGTCTCTAGCATTGTTTAAAAAACAATATCACATGTCTAATTAGAGATAAAACAATTTGTAAAAACAATCTTGAAAGCACATTCATCACCAACAGTAGGGATAGGGTTTAGCAAATTATAGTCCATCCATTTGGAAACTTTAATAATTTGTGGAAATGTGTGTTTTATTTGAAGAAAAAGCACAAAATTATACGTTGACTATAATCACAATAATGGGAAAATCTACAGACAAATGTTAGAAAAAAAGACTAGAAGAAAATACCTAAAAATCTAAATAGAAGTCTTTGTATATTGTTTTCTTCTATTTTTTCATGTCCAAGTTTTTATATAATAAACATACTATTTTTATAATAAACAATATTGGACTTTTTTAAAAAAACAACAAATTGGATGAATTATTTTACTTTTCTAATTTTCTAAAAGAACATCCATACACACCTGTTGCTCCATGGTGACATTTTCCTTATACTTGTAAATCCACAATGCTAAATATTCTATTGGATCCACTGGGCGAACTCTTGCCACTTCTGCAAGACCTTGAGTTAAACATGTCCCAATATACTTCTGAAGATATATTGACTCCATTTCAAATTCCTAACTTTTAAAAAAATAAGTGTTTTTACATTAGTGAGCAGCAATTTTTTAAATTAAAGCGAAATAAAAGTAGAGTCCAGTGAGGCCAACAAGCATTGCATCCTGCCACCAGCTATGGGCAGCACCTCCCATCAGGGATGGCACAAGCTGGCTGCAGAAAACTTCTAATGGTTTCTTAAAAGGCTCCACAGAAGTCACAACTAAAATGCTTTGAAAATCCGAAAGAACCCTCAAGTCCAAGATTCAGAAAAGGGGTACTGTCCTTATTGATTGTAAGATGACTATATGCCAAGCAATGCATTATTTCAGTTAGTCCTCACAATATAATCTGAAGAATAGTTGTCATTATCCCCACTATGCAGATAAGAAGGATCAATTTAGGCATAAAGAGCATAAACTGAACAGTCCAAGATCACACATGCAGCACATGGTAGAGGTGGGATTCATACCAACTCTTAATTCCAGAGTCATTATCCTGACTGTAATAAGATGCTGCTCCCAAACCATGAATTATTTTTAGAAAACATCACAATAATTAACCTAAAAAAAGAGTCCATGCATCTCCAGGAGAAAGAATTAAAAAAAAATTCAACCTTCAAAGAATAGCATATGAGGCTCTTTACACTGTGGCACCAATTTTTTCAGGCTCAACTCCAGACATTTCTTCTGCCTCCAACATATCCTGGCTCTAGCTACACTGAACATCCTGCTATTCTGTTGATCACACCTTGCATGTTTTCATCTCCATGACTTTTGCACATGATCCCTATCTCTCAACTTCAAAAAAATCTCACCTGCAAGATATAGATCATCTCTCATTCTCTGAGCTTTCCCAGGCACTATAAAGAAGTTCCTCCTTTCCCCACAGCTCACACAGCACTTGTCCACTACCTGAGAATTACCTGAAAATAATGGCCTCCTAAAGTTCATCTGTAGACCTCAACACTGCTTGTTCTTATACGATGGTGAGAGTACTATAATCTCTATGAAGAAGAATTTGGCAATATCTAAAAAATTACCTATGTATTTACCCTTTGACCCATCAACTCAATTCAGGGATCCTACCTTCCAAAAATATGAAGTAATATTTGCATGTGGTTATTTGCACCACTACTTAGAATAGTCAAACTGAGCCCATTCAAGTGTTGGTCATTAAGGGATTGATGAGATACAGCAACACAAATTACTGAGCAGAGACAGCAGGAAGATCTCTAAAACAGGGAGTGACCTCTAGGACAGTGGAGTGAAAAAAAGTGTGTGTGTGTGTGTGTGTGTGTGTGTGTGTGTGTGTGTGTGTGTAGTCAAATAAACTAAAACTCTAAAACCTGGCGTGTGTGTGTGTGTGTGTGTGTGTGTGTGTAGTCAAATAAACTAAAACTCTAAAACCTGGTGTGTGTGTGTGTGTGTGTGTAGTCAAATAAACTAAAACTCTAAAACCTGGCACAAAAGAACCTAATTCTTCATCAAGCTGGCACTGGTGTCTTAACCTCAGAGTGAAGATTTTCCAAACTGAGTTTGGAACACATGGTTTCACTTCTTCAGTGGGATATACTCCAAAGACAAAAATAACTAGATTGACATCTCAATGTTATCTGAAGAGGAGTAACATAAAAAAGGGTACAGATTACTGCTGCTATTCCAAAAAAAAAAAAAAATACATGGGAAGGGACCGTAGTTTCTAAGGCAGAAAACCTCTGACCTAAGAGTAGCACCCGGCGGAGGGTCGTCTCAAATCTGCAGGCGCTGCATCTCATTAGCGGAATCCGGGGTCCTGAAGCTCATTACCTCGCTTGCTACCTGTCCATAAAGTAGCCATAATACCCACCTCACAAGGTGGTTTTAAAGAATGTTATTTTTCATATACACGAACAGGCAACTTGGCTCATCATAAGAAAGCCCCTTGCCCCGGAAACAGCTGCCTCAAACCTGGAGAAGTCATCACAAAAAAATAGAGGTCCCTAAGGCCATGCCTGGGAGAAAACCGGTCAACGGAATGGGAAAGGGGTCCGGGAAGGGTTGCCAGATTTAGCAAGTAAAAATACAGGATGCCCAGTTAAATAAGAATTTCAGATTAGCAGCGAATGATTGGTGTTCTCCTATACTTGTACTAAACCGTTATTCCTTATTTCTCTGAAATTAATGTTAAACTGGCTATCGCGTGTTGTATCCCGCAACCCTCGGTTCGGGGCGCTTCGGCTTGTTTTCCGGTCCCGGGTCGGCAGAAAGGTCTGCGGCCACACTCGCCCCTCCAGCCGGCGCGGCGCGGCTCAACCCTGAGGAGCCTGCCACAGACGCCCACCGAGCCCCCAGGCGCGGAACAGACCGAGCGGAGCCTGGGCGTCGCCGGAGCCCCACCCATTCACCCGGCCCAGCCGCCGGCGGCCAGAGCCCAGCCACGCCTGACCAACCTTTCCCCGACACGGCGCCTGCGTTCTCGGAGCGCACTCCCCGCGCCGGCGCCTACCGCCTACCCGCCAGGCGCGTCCCGTCGCTAGGCAACGAGCTCGCGCACCCTCCCGGCCCGAGCCGCTGCGCTGCAGGGAGGAAGCGCCGCTGGGGCGGGTGAGTGGAGGGCGTCCGCTGGGCGGGGTGCCAGGAGTGTGGGGAACACCTCGCTGCAGAGAGGAGGGGAGGCGAGCGTGGGTGGGCTGGAGGCGCGGCGAGGTGTGGCGGGTGCCCGACGGAGAGGAAGGAGGCCGCAGTAGGTGTCCAGACTTGCAACCTACAGGCTCCAGAAAAGGAAATCGAGCCACGCGCTCTGGGGAGATAAAGGGGCGGCGGGCTCGCGGGACGCAGCTGTAAAGGGCCCTGTCTGTGAATGGGGGAAAAGGCTCACAGCCCCCGGGCCTTGAAGATAATCACAGCAAGTTTGATGGCCTGGTATTTTCACAACTTCGCACCTTTGCACTTACGGGTGAATTCTGCTTTTTTCCGTTCAGAACCGGCTTAGGCGCTCCCACGTCGGGGAAGCCCCCCGACCTCTGCAAGGCCACAGCCATTGCAGTCTTCCCTGGCCTAGTCGTTTGTGCACAATAATCTACTTGCGTTTCCCAGGTTCTAATGTTTTAATTTAGGTGTGGGGCAGTGCTGGGCAGGAGAAACCGCCCTAAACGTTGGTCAAGGGAGTTAAGTGCTAGAGTGGGCGCTGATAGATGGAATGGAGCATGAGCTCCTGCCTGGGTATCACAGCCCTCCTGATGAAGTCACGGAATATTTTCTGAGCACCTACTGTGGGCCTACCACTGGCAATATAGTGTGAATGAAGACCAACTCTATGATTATTGCCCTGCCTACTGTGTGCAAGGCCATGAACAAAGAGGGCCAGTGTAAGCACACCCTCGGAGGTACTCTGGGAAACTCCAGAGCTCTGGGAAAAATAGCCCCCTCCTCTTTGGTGAGTGTTCCCTGAGTTTGTGGGGCAGGGGACCGTAAAAGGCATCATATGTAAGTAAATAAATAAGACTTGGCAGATGTGATGAAGTTGAGGATTTTGATTTGGGGAGATTATACTGGATTATGCAGGTGGGCGTAGTATAATCCAGGCCTCACATTGTAGCTCTGTTATTCTGGCCCTACTGTCTTTGCATCTCAAGTCTTAGTAACCATCAGATAAACATATTTCATTGAGACAATTATTGAAAATGTGCAATTTAGATCCGATGCTTTCTCCAGAAAGGGTCGCCACACTTACACAGTGTGGCAGCCACCCAACTGGGAATGCAATTGATGACTTCACCCTCTGGGAAGGGCAAATGCAGACTCTGAATTTGTAGGTCTGGGGTAAGCCCTGAAAATCTGCAATTCAACAAGCCCGGAGATGATGTAGTGCTGCTGTTCATCACAGACCACACTTTGAGTAAAAAGGATGTACGAGATTGTTTATACACATGCATTGGTTCAGGGGAGCCACAGATTGGCAGAAACATACCATGCACCACCAACCCCACCCTCCACCACAACCCCAAATTTAGTGCTTTTACTCTCTTACAGGTTTTGAAGTTGAAAATCCAAAATGAGTCTCACAGGTTGAAACCAAAGTGTTGCCACGGCTACTTCCTTATTGGAGGCTCTCGGGAAGAATCCATTTCCTTGTCTTTCCAGCTTCTAGAGGTTGCCCACCCTCGCTGGGTCATGGCCCTGAGTCGCCTCACCTTTTCTCCCTCTGCTTCCATCATCCCATCACCTTCTTCCCTGTCTGACCCCATAGAGACCCTTGTGATTACATTGTGCCTACCCGAATAATCCAGTATAATCTCCCCAAATCAAAATCCTTAACTTCATCACATCCACAAAATCCCTTTTGCCACATAAAGTAACATTTTTCACAGGTCCCAGTTATTACGACCTAGAAACCTTTAGGAGCCATTATTCAGCTCTACCATACTGTGTATTTCCTAAGAAAAAGGACATTTTCTTATTCATATTTCAGTTACCAAAACTAGGAAATTTAACATTTATACAGTTCTATTATGTAATCTACAATCCACATCCAGTTTTCCGAACAACATCCTTTATAGAATTCTTTTTTCTGATCTAGATCCAATCCAGGATCATGTGTTGCATATAGTTCTTAAACCTGTTTAGGCACCTTTGATCTGGAATGGGTCCTCATCTTTTTGTGTGTGTGTGTCATAATCTTGACATTCTCAAGAGTACGGGCCAGTTGCAGACTGTCTCTCAATTTTCTTTTGTTTGATATTTCCTTAATGAGATTCAAGTTTTGCATTTTGGGCAGAAATCCATGGAAATGTATTATGCCCCACTAAAAAGTGCATCACATCAAAGAAACATCTGATATCACTTTGTCCTTTATTACTGATGTTTATGTTAATCAGTTCATTAAGGTTCTGTCAGCCCAGTTTCACCCTTGTAAACTTTCTGTATTTCCTTCTGAAATAAACAATCTATGGGGAGAAACTTTGAGACTATATAAATACTCTATTCCTTGTCAAATATTCACCAAGTTTTAGCAGTGATTCTGGCCTGAATCAGTTATACTATCAAGATTACAAAATGGTTACTTTTTTTAAACTCCCTTATTCTTTACACATTTATTACTTGGCATTCCACTTTAAGAAGAACTTGCCTTCTCTCCTGTTCACTTACTTATCTATTCTTATATGAATTCACTGACCCTTATTTTATTCAAATAGTTAAATTCATGATAGTCATTATTTGTTTTGAAGGTTCAGTTGCTGCAGATTTGGTTAGTAGAAGCCCTCTTCAAGTTGGCTCCTGTGTCCCTAGCCATTTTATTTTTTAGCATTTTCTTCCTTTCTGGGACAACAAAATATTCCAGGCTTATTAGACTTTTCCTGCTCCAACGTTGGAATTAGCCATTTTTTCAAGGAGTCCTGATTCCTCTTAAGTGGTGAAGATTATTTAAAAGCAAGTTCTGTATACTTAGTGTGCTCATTGCTACTGAGGTGTTGTACATCTAGGTCTTTGTGGTAGAAAAAGCTACAAAAAATTTTTTTCTATATCCATACCTATCCTTCCTAAAACTGAAAAATACCTCAAGAAAATACCAAGACTGGACCCAAGTCTTTATTATTCACTTTATTATTAGCTCTTTTGGACTGGAAATATGTATGCACACTTCAGGAATATGGAGTTGGTCAGGTGCTACATTTCATGTCACAACCTCCCACTGTAATAGCTTTTATTAAACACTATGTGCCAAGTTAAGTGCTTTACTTGTATTTATTATCTCTTTTAATACTCACAGTTATAAGGTACATATCTTTGCTATTCTGTTCTACAGATGAGAAAACCGAGGTTCAGAGAGACTGGGTGCCTTGCTCAAGATCACACAGTCGATACATGGAAGAACCAGCCCTGGAACTTGTTTTGTCTGATCCCAGAATCTGTGTTCATACTGCTGCACTACACTGCCACTCCTAATTTACGGTCTAAATCAGGCTACGTTGCCTCCAGCTCGTGAAATCTGATTAATAGTAAGTTCAGGATCAACAACTCAACCTAAAGCAGTTTCATGCTTAAGCCATAGAGAGCAGAATATTGTGCTAAGTGCTGGCAAAGCTGATCATCCATAGCTGCATCTTCCCTTCCTCTCCTCTCCTCCCCAGGGCTTCTCAGTGGTCCCTTGTGTATAAATAAGTCTATCTTATCTATGTCATAGATGACTTCAGCTTCCAGCCTCACAATAGCACAGCTTGCTGGGTATTCAGAGCCCCTTTGGGGACTTCCTGCCTGCTCACTTATTTCCTCCTTGCTCAAGGGTGGAAATGTGTGCATGGAGACCTTAGACACCCTTAACTACCAACATATAAAGCTCCTCTTAGCCCTGATGACCTGCTGGACCTATTGTCTGACCTCAAACAGCTGAAAAGCTTTTTAAAAGACTATTTGAATGTAAGTGCTATTGGCAAGTATGTATTTATTGAAGCTTTTGGGAAGAATAGGATCCAGAAGCATCTTATATTTATCCTGAAATGAATCTGAATTGGTTAGAATGTATCTATTTTAAAAATCAGATTAGATGTATGAAACAGTGTGACTTTGTTTTGGTATTTCCCAGCCTACAGGGATGGAAACTGACTATCTGAAGAGGTGCTTTGGAAATTGCCTGGCCCAGGCGCTGGCAGATGTGGCGAAGGTTCGGCCCAGCGACCCCATTGAGTACCTGGCCCACTGGCTTTATCATTACAGGAAGAGCACTAAAGCAAAAGAAGAGGTGTGTATGTGCACTGGGTTGGCATGGGGAGGGCTTTCCGGCTTTCCCAGAGTCATTTGAAATCCAAGGCAGGACTCTGGAGCTAGCCTGGGGAGTTTCTCAGTTATCCAACTGTGAGATGGCTTAGGCCCAGATGTCCCTGAAGTGTGGGGAGTCAAGGGTCTGAAGAAGGAATCCAACCCAGAGAGCTGTGGATTGGTGGGTTTGAGAGGCACTAGCAGGTAAAAGCTACAAGGGCAGATTCAGGAGGCCTGAAGGGTCCAGGGCCTGCAGCCTATCCCAGTGAGGGAGGGTGCATTTGAACTTGCTTCCCAGGGGCTGACCTGATTCATCTGAGCCCCATTGCCCCAGAATAGACAAGAGAAGATCCAGCTGAAGGATGATAATAGCCTCAAAAAAACCGAAATGACAGAAGTGCTGAAGCAAGGAGAGAGTTAGATTCAACAGAAGCGTGAAAAGTATCACAAGGTGGGGAGGAAGAATTCAGCATTGGGCACATACATCCCAGTGATCCATACCAGGAAATCCACAAGTCAGCTCAGCCACGAGGCAAAGTGCATGGAGGTTCCCAAAAGCAGACTTTTCCTACCATATTCACATATAACACCAATCTTATTGACAATCCTTGCCAATGAAATCCGTGTCAATGAAAAAAATGTTTAGATTTCAGACATAGCTTAGGTGTTACTCATTTTAAAAAATTAGATTTAAAAAAAATCTAATACATCACTTAGAACTAATGTATTTCATTCAAGATCCTTTGAGCCTTTTTCAAAAAATGATTCAATATTTTTCAGAAAAGGTATCAAGTCACAAGTCCCTCCTCTGTGATGCTGTAATAGTGGTCATAAATTATTAACTTAGAGTAATTGGAAACAACTTTTTATTCATTAGTCTGACAAGCATATCTTTTATCTCCCACAATTTTTGCCCCAATCTTCTGAAAAATGCTGTTTCATTTTTGCACCTTCTACAGAGTATATGACGCCTGGATAAGGAATTGACTTATTGGGCTAGACATCTGATATTTTTTTAACTGTCACTGTATCCGATGCATTACAATCTTCAATGCAGTCTTGTACAGTTCACTAACTTTTGCTAGTTTCCAAACCCAACTTTGATAAACACATGAAAATATTATGCTTGTGGACATTTATACTGATTTGCTCAGCTTTCCTCACAATTAATAGGTTTATTTTTTAAGTCTGAAGGTTTTATAAATAAATTAAATCAGAAAATAGTTTCATACTATTGGTTGACAATAGTGTAAAAGAACTCTCCCTCAGGAATAATCCATTCTTTGAATAATTGTTGGGAGATAATACAGGTGAGGTCATTAAGCAAAAGTTGTCATCACCTTGCTGCCTATTCTACTCCTTTTCTAATACCATGCTTCACTGTTAATAGAATATAGCAATGTAAGGCAGGAAAATACTCCCAAAACTCCATGCTGGTTTTATGGTGACTTTATTAAAGAAAAGTTTGTACACATCATTATTTTGAATTGTCCCTTTGTGTTGCACTCAGGCAGTTTTATGCTCTATAGCAATATTCCTTAGCAAGATTTAAATGAGTGAAAGGTATGCTATTCTTTTGCCAAGTGGAGACAAAGGCAATTGTTAGGGAATATGGGAAATAAGAGCCAGCATGGTGCCTGGACTACATGCAAGTTCTCTGTTTTAGGGAAGAGTTCATATGCAAGCTGTGATTATTGGAAACTGATTCCTTTTGTTAAAAGGAAATAGAACCCAACAGTAATCTGAAACACAGCTGAAGGTATTGTTTACCCAGCAAGGGAGAGCCACATCATTCAAGTGCAAGTTACTTTCCTAGTACAAAACTGAAAGAGCTAAACAAAGGGCAAAGAGGTGGAGATGCATCTGTTGCTCAAGGTGAATCACAAACTGTTCGTTTCTATTGGTTACCTTCAGATTTTGTGTCACTAGTGCTGTAAAATCTGATCTCAAATAGGCCCAGGATGGGTTGCATAAGGTTTTAACAAGCCTGCTGATTTAGCTGATGGGCTTTTATGCACATGTTCAAAGCTTTGCAAAATTTTCCTTAATATCTCAAAACCATCATTACTTGCATATTCCTTAAAAAGTCTTTGAGAATCCCAGATCGAATACTACTGATCCACTGGGCATGTCAAAAGAGTAGAAACAGTGCACTATGTGTGGTAGAGATCATATCCAATTAAAAGAAGAAATTCACAGAGAGGCAGCATTTGAATCAGACCTAGAAGAAAGGTGGCAAAAGTTGACCTTCTATTGGTTTCTCTACATTAAGCAGAGGCAGCTTTGAAGAAGTAAATCATAATTCAGTTTCTAAGTCTGAGGTGTTGCTTTGTTTAAAGATCTGAGTGAGCAAATGTTTTAGAAATACATTTTTTATGGAATCAGTACCTAGATTTGCTGCATACACTCAAAACACTTTGAAGTCAGAAGGATCTTAGAGATCATGTGGGCAAGTACTTCAAAGACCCCTCTGCAGCACCCCCACAGGATCTGCTGTGGCGTGGACAGTGGGAGAAGACGGGAGTTGAGGCGGCCAGTACAACATAAGGTCCAAGGACTCCTACCTCATCAGGGACTTCAGTCATGTCAGTGCTAGACTGATGTTGTCTTGTAGGTCACTGAGACTATGTTCATATTTCAATCGTTTTTCCTCTATGCTTCAGTTTGGATAATTTCTATTGATCTGTCTTCAAGTTTACTGACCCTTTCTCCTGCAGTGTCCAATATCCTGCTTAGGGATTCAGCGAGTTTTTCATTTCGGATATTGTACTTATAAATTCTAGAAATTCCATCTGGTTCCTTTGTGTAATTTCCATTTCCGCTATAGATATGCCCTATCTCTTCACTCACCACATCCATTTTTCTCCTTCAGTTTTTTGAAAATACTTGTAATCACTGTTTTAAGTCCTTGTCTGTCAATTCCAACTTCTTTGTCTCTTTGAAGTCTCTTCTGTTAAATACTAACTTTAGATTATGGTTCACGTTGTCCTACTTTTTCATATGTCTAGTAATTGTTTGTATACTGAACATTGTAGATGATACTTTGCAGGGAGTTTAGATTGTGTAATTTTCCTTCAAATGTTATTGCTTTATTTCCTGGCAGGTAGTTAAATTATTGGTGAGTCATTTGGATCCTATCAGATTTGTTTTATGCTTCACTGGAGCACATCTGTTTCAGTATTATTCTTAGTCTTGGGCATGAAAATGGCAATATTGTGTTCTTGCCATACCAAGTGTGTTTTGGTCTCTGCTAATGACTTTTTTGGTTTTTTGTTTTCTATTTAGCCACTGGTATCTGTAGCTAGTTCCACAAAAGAGGTCATATTCACGCAGGAAAACATAAACCCCCTTGAGACGGAGGCCTTCAAGCAGGAGTCCCTGCCAGGTTATTCCAGGATGATTCCAGGAATGCCTCAGCAGATTCCTTCTTCGGAGTCATCTGGCCAGACTTACTGAACGTCAGAACTACACAAGAAAGAAAGTACCAGGCTTTTCAACATGACATTGCTCCCAGAATGCATCCTGGCTCCAAATCTTCCTCTCAGGTTTATCAGAAGGCAAGCAATTCTAATGATGATTCTCTCAAAGCCGCAAGCTAAGACAATGGCCAGCTAGAAGAACTCTCACTTGAAGATGATAATTGTGTGGATAAAACCAAAAATTTGAAGGACTATGGAGAGAGATGTCTGTAGGGACTTACAGCTTAAGTCCTGTTGTGATAGCCATAAAAATGTAAAAAAAAAAAAAACCTTAATCATGTAAAATTTGAACTACTCATAGGATGAAATAAACTCATAATAAGGATTTAAATGAGTAACCAAACTGATGAGACTTTTTCTTCTTGTTTTATCATTTTTTGAAGACTAGACATTCACCTCATATGTTCATGACTTAACTTCAGTTGGACTTTTCAGCCAGGCCCCTCAGAGTGTTTACACGTGGCCAAGAGTGTACCTGTGTCACTGACAAGAGGTATTTTGAAACAGCTCTTATGATAATTAAATGCAAAGGTTTTTTTCCTGATTATTTTCTATCTATATTCACCTCTAAACTGATGATTTCAGATTTACATCTTTGATCAAGATTTCCATGACTGCCTGCTTAATATGTCTACTTGGATGACCAAGGGACATCTCAAACTCATCGTATCCAAATGGAATCCCTGATGCTCTCCCTGAACCAATTTCTCTTCATTCTTCTGTTTGTTCAGGTCAAACTCTTGGTGTCATCGTTGACTCCATTCTTTATTGGTAACCCCACATCTGGTCTGTTAGCTTTCCATTTGAAATAAACCCAGAATTCAACCACTTGAATGCCCAGCCACAGTCATCTTTTGCCTAGATTATTACAGTAGCCTGTTAACTGGTCTCCCTTCTGCCTTTGGCCTTTTCTAACCTCAACATTAAGAAGCCAGGATGATATTGGTAAATACAATATAAGTCACATCATGTCTAATGAGTGGCTTTCTGTCTCAGTCACAGAAATATTCAAGGCTTTTAGTGTGAGCTACTGGACTCTTAAAAGTCTGATTCCCCATTTTACTCTCCATACTGTTCTCTTCACTCCAGCCACACTGACACCTTGTTGCTCTTCAAACACTCCAGGCATGGTCCCACCTCAGAACTTTGCTTTCTCTTCTCTCACATAGAATGCTCCCATCTCCCCACACTCCTCCCCTACAATCCTACCTCAGTTTCTGAAGAGAGCAGGCTCCCTGTGGGACTTGTGGCCACTGTCCAGGGGTTAGTGTTCTCTCCAGCGTATCAGGATCTAGAGACATTTTCAGTCCATCCATGCTGTAGAAAGGCCCAAGAACTTGGAATCCCTTCTTTCTAATGATGCTCCAGCTGAAATTGTGTAACATAATGAACACCATGTTTTCTTTAAAATTGTAAAATTGGATATGTGATATAAAAAGGACATGGAAACCTAACTGTGGTAATATCAATGAAAACGTGGGCTGTTTTAAAGTACAACTAAAAATCATTTAATACTGTGCTCTCCTCTCCCATTTTTCCAAATGATCCTTATGCAAGGTAATTTGGCTGGTGCATAGTATTAATGCATTCAGCCATACCGAGTAAATTCTTGTGTGGAACAAAAACCAGGCAAGTCAATGAGAATTTGAGGTAGCTAGCATAGAGGAGGAGCAGGGAAACTTCATTTTCAAAGAGCCATTGAGTGACGGGGGGAAAAAATCAACTGAGGACCATCAAAAGAAAATCATCTTAATTTTGTGTTCTGATATTTAGCAAAAATGAGAGAGTATGCCTAAATCTTTTGCAATAGTGATTGATAACAGAGGTAAATAGAGCCAACTGAGGGCTCCTTCAGGCAACCCCTCCCATCCCTAGGGAAAACCCCTGAATGATGACCTGCAGTCACTAACACTCTTGTCCAGTTCCCTCTGGTACGCCAGGACTAGGAAAAGATTAGGGATCCTCTGTTCTACATTTTAATACAGACGACTGAATGTATTGTATTGCTGTGTAATAAATTAACACAAAGTAGTGTGGCTTAAAACAACACCTTTTTATTATCTCACGGTTCTGCAGGTCAAAAGTCCAAGCATGATGGGGTTGATTAATGATTGTGCATTGAGTCCCCTATACAGAATTTTATTGTTGTTAACAGCCATATGATCAATAAATATGAGAGATGCCCTCTCAAAAAAAAAAAAAAAAGTCCAAGCATGACTCAGCTGGGTTCTCAGAGTCTCACAGGCTGAAATCAAGGTGTCAGCCAGAGCTACAATCCTACTGGAAGCTCAAGGTTCTCCTTGAAGCTCATTGATTGTTAGCAGAATTCCCTTCCTGCCTCCGGGGAAGTGGGAGAGCCAGTGTTCAAACTTCCAACAGTTTGGTCCCAGAGTCAGAGTGTGAGCTCACTCATCAGCCCTGCCCTCAGAAGAGCCTTGGAACCCAGATGGTTAAGGGCACTGGCCTGCAGCCCGTTTCATCCCTCTCCCACGAAATGGCACTCCCCCACAGTCCAGGGCAGGCCCAGTCATGAGTGGTTACCAGACTCTCTCAGGCTTTACTGAGGGCTAGTTTTGCCCAGGGACTGAAAACAGCAAAGTGAAATGACCAGGTCCCTCCTGGAGGTCAATGCCAATGCTGCGCTTTCCCCTCTGATGGACACAATCTCTGGAGGGAGCTGAATGCCTTCACTCAGGGTATTGTCTTTCTGGCCTCTCTCTCTAAGGTGACATTATGTATCCAACCTCTGAGGAAGCTTGCTTAGCTCTTACTGAGCAACTGAAGACAACCGCAAAGAAAGGCAACCTTGTTTTCCTCCTCACCTCCTAGTTCTTAGAGTCGGCAGCCCTCTTCACCTGTCCTGTAGCTACTAAGGGCAGCTGTGATGGACAGGAGTGCTCAGTGCTGAGTGCATGGGAGGTGTTCAGTGACCACAGAAAGCGTCCAATGCAGGGAAAGTTGACAGCAGAAACGAAGGCAGGTAGACGACACCACAAGAGCATTTCAGGCTGGAAGAAGGGTTCGTGCAAAGACACAGAGGCAGGAGTGAGTGCTCACTAGAGTTAAGCAGGGTGTATGTGTACAAACTGTCCAAGAGGCTCAGGGTGCAGAGGAAGGGCTAGATCTGAGAGATGCTGGGGAACAGGAATATGCAGTGAGTCGGATGAAGAAGTCTAGAATGGATCCCAGCTTTTATTTGTGTAGGGGGAAATTAAAGGACTGAGTAAACTTGTCACAAAATAATGCGGGATTTGAAGTGACTAAAACCAGGACCCTTCCCAAAGAGCTAGGGTCTTGGATAGAATACATCTTCCCCCAAAGGGTGTGTATTCAGTCAGACTGTCTTTCAATACTCTTCCAAAGGGAATATGGAAATTCCCATTTACAACTCAAGTTTATTTGTCCACATGTATTTAATTAAAGAAACAGACATAGTCAAAAAGCATTATCTTAGTTTTCAATAATAATATCTGACTTATGTAGGATGTTTAATATGTGCCAGGCATTATATTATCTCATTTAATTTTCAAAACACTCCCTGAGTTGGGTACTTTAATAATTTCAATGTTACGGATAATGAAACTAGAGTTCAGAGGTTAATGGTTGGCCCAAGGTTAGACAGCCAGGAAGTGGCATTTGGGTCTGTATGTCAGGAGCTCATATATTTGACTGCCAGGCTGTGCTGCCTAATACTTTCTAATAAGGGAAGTCTAATTCCTTTATCCAGGGACTGTTGCTTCAAGTCAGTTACAGTTTTTTTTCTTTTCTCTTAGATGAAATGAAATCTTCAAAGAGCTTTCAGTTATCCAGAAGCATTTAAGCTCACTCATGCATATTTTATCATCTTAGAGGCCAAAATTAACCAATGCATTTACAATCATAAACAGGACACTTCAAAAATTCATGTTAGATACTTTAGAGACACTGTTATAACAATATATGTGATAAAGTCCATAAAGTAAAGTTCTTACCAGTGACAGATGTAGTTCGTAAACACTTTTCAAAAGGTTGAATAGCCAATGGGGAAATAAATCCCCTTTTCTATCTTTAGACATGGAGTAAGAATGATTTTGGGAGACCAAATACAACAGCTATGATATCACAACCAGACAGTTCTACAATATGAAAATGAAATGGTTTATATTATCCAAAAATATAGCTGTAAGAAGATGCTTATCAGCAAAGAAAAACTGGTAATTTTCCTGCAGGATTAAGATTTACAATTTGTCTGAAGATAGTTCAATGCTTGAGCTAACAGTTCCTCGAGGGTGGCTTAGAGCTAAGTCATATTGCATGTCTCATATTACTAAAGGCAAGTTTCTCTGGGTGTTTTGCCTTTCATGTTTGTGTTCTATTTGTCAAGAAGATACTCCTTCTGATGTCTTTCAACAAAAGGCAAGTCCAAATGTCACAGAGGGAAGAGAATCTCAGTAAGTGTCCCCAAAAAAGCAGATCTTTGGAAGCCATGGTCAGAAATCATGCTGGCACTAGATGGGATTTCTTGTGTCTGCTGCCTTCTAGAGTTATGGTCAAAAGATACCCATTCCAAAGAAATTACTAAAAAAAAAAAAAAAAGTCTGCAGTTGCCATTATCAAAATGATGACCTCCAGGAATAAAATGACAGAACCTATAGTATCATTGTCTGAAAATATCAGACTTGTAGATAAATTTAGGCAAAATGAAATAGAATGATAAAAAATATCAGGAGAAATACAGTTGACAGATACAGGTTGTTTGGGCAAAAATTACTCCATGAGAGGTACCAAAACATAGAATTCCACATATAATGCCAAGAAGGGAAAAATTGATGAGAAATTTTGTCCCTAATTATGAAACCCAAGGCTGTTTTTAGATGGACTGCAATTATTTCCCCATCCCCACCTCCAGAAAAGTCAACACTGGATATTTTCCAAGACCATAAATGGGCCAAAATAAAGTATCTCCAAATCATTTGCCTAAAGAAATTAACTTCATGGATAAAATAGCTAAGGAGACCTTTGTAAGAATTATCATCAGGGGAGTTGGGCCAAGGAGAAATCCTCATGAATAATGACCAGAGAAAGCAATTCTATTAGAAAAGCTAGCTAGGAAAAAAATTCCTCAATATTCATCACTGCCAGTCATTGTTTATGAGATTCCTCAAAAATCAATTGTTGGATAAAGAGATTCCATGAATTAAAAATTAGCCACAAAAAAAATTTGCTCAAGAGGGTCCCCTGTAGACCTGAGATCCTTGGATAAAGATAATCAAGACAAGGCTCCTCAAAAAGCAATGCTTATGCAGCTCCTTCTGGGAGGTTGCCATGTAGAAAAGAGGTGAACTAAAACATATATATTCAGAAGTCTATTTAGGAGCAGTTGAGTCAAACTGACAGAGAAATCCAGAGGGAAACTCCCCAAAATTTCCAATGTGGAAGAAGCATTTCCATCACTACATTTAAAGTCTAATTACTGAGAAAATGGCCTTAGAAAGAGAAGTTTCCATCAATAGAATTGGCCAGAACAGAAGATGTTCAGGAAGTTCATACAGAAAAATAATGCCCCAAAATCAAGATACTCAGAACAAAACCTTAAAAGAGACCAATTCTGAAGGATGGTTTGTTGAGTCAAGGAGAAATGATAAAACTAAGCAAATCTTGAAATCAGGAGGAATTAAACCATTATAAGGGAAGCCCCAGGACAGAGTTTCTTGGCTTTACTCTTCAGAAGTAGACAAGTTTACTGAAGAGTTTCTACAGGGTATTATGCCTAAGAACATGCCTTTAGACACATTAGTACCCAGATCCAGGTCCCTTCAAAACAAAATATCAAAAGAATTATCATTGTCATGGATAAAGCTACTAAATAAAGAACAAATTTCTCAGCAAATGTCATCACAAATAATAGTACATACGTCAAGTTAAATACATCTGGAGATAAAAAGGTTGAAGTATAAGATCAGTCAGGATAAAAATCTAAAGCATTTTTTAAGAGGGGAACAAATAGTGAATAGTTTGAAGCAGAGCAATTCTTCCCAGAAAATGCTGTCACAAAATCTATGGAGAGGATCCAACTCAGTGAAGTCCCCTGCAAATACTATAGAGAGGAAGAAAATTTTTAGGGGAAGATAGCCACGAAAAATGTTCTAGGAATCGGGAGTAGTTTGGAGCAAGGCTGGGCTGACGCTGAGCTCACAATGCCATCTTCCTATAGCCCATCAGGACAAAGTGCTCAGTGTTTTCTCTTCTGAAGATACCACCTCTCCTGAGGTAAGTTCCATTATCTCAATATTTTATCAGGAAAAACAGATAAGCAAGGTAAAATAAATTCAAGCTAAGTATTCCCACAGATGTCATCTTGTAATGCAAGATTTATAGTCAGGGTTGCTTAAGGTAAAACTTCAGAAGGCATATCTAGATAGCCATGAAAGCATAAATATTTTCTTCACTTCAAGTTTAATTTGCTTAACTTTAG